CCCCCAGCCCCATAGCTTCTTGTCCCTATAGCCCCCAGCCCCATAGCTTCTTGTCCCTATAGCCTCCACACCCTAGTTCCTTGTTCCTATAGCTCCCGGTCGCCGTGGCCCCTAGACCTATAGATCCTTGCTCCCAGGGCCCCCAGCCCCATAGCTTCTTGTCCCTATAGCCCCCAGCCCCACAGTCCCTTTCCCCCCAGCCCCATAGCTTCTTGTCCCTATAGCCTCCACTCCCTAGTGCCTTGTTCCTATAGCTCCTGGTCACCATAGCCCCTAGACCTATAGATTCTTGCTCCTGGAGCCCCCAGTCCCATAGTCTCTTGTCCCTATAGCCCCCAGCCCCACTGTCCCTTGCCCCCATAGCCCCCAGCCCTGGCCCCATAGCCCCTTCCCTTGCCCCCACAGCCCCTCTCTCCACGCCCACACAGGGACACACAAGCTCCAGGAAGGAGCAGTGGTCCCCAGGGATCACAGCCCCATGGCACCACAGCCTGGCCCCCCACCCTGGGGGCAGCCCAGCACCCAGACTGGAGTCACGGGTCCCCAGAGCAAGGGCGCTGAGGGCTGTTTGGGCTGGGGGTGCCCTGGGTCCCCCAAAGCCAGGCACATGCCCAGCCCTGGGGGATCACCCTGAGGTCCTCAGGGGGACAAGGGGCCAAGGCTGTCCTGGCACAGGGAGGGGGCAGCCACCATCCCAGCAGGGAGATGTGTGACAGTGGGGACAAAGGCACAGCTACTCTCCTGGGCACTGCAGCCAGGTGAGGTGGCACCTACACCCCCACCTCAGGTGGGCTGGACCCCATGGGGCAGGACAGCGTGGGGCACATGTTGCAAGGAGACACACTGGGGACAGGCATCGCCTGTGAGGGGCTCAGGGCACGGACACAGCCACCTTGGGCACATGGGGTCCCCAAGTCCCCCCACTTCATGGGAAGAGCCCCCAGCAGAGGGTCCCTATCCCTCCCTCCCTCCCCCAGGAGCCGCAGACAGGTGGTACCTGGACAGCAATAAATTTATTAAGTATTCAAAAAAAATAATAGACACGAACCAGTAAAAAACGAAAAGAGGGGAGGCAGGAGGGGGGGGCAGAGGGGGCCGAGCTGGCTCATGGGGGGGACGGGGTCAGGAGACACCAAAGGGGCACACGCGGGAGGAGCCCGGCCAGGGTGGCAGCGCGAAGCCGGAGGGGCTGTGGGCGGCAGGGGGGTGCGTCGGGCATCACTTGGCGCCCTGCGCCTCCGACTCCTCCTCGTCGTCCTCGTACATCTCGCCTTCCTCCTCAGCCGTGGCGTCCTGGTACTGCTGGTACTCGGACACCAGGTCATTCATGTTGCTCTCGGCCTCAGTGAACTCCATCTCGTCCATCCCCTCGCCCGTGTACCAGTGGAGGAAGGCCTTGCGGCGGAACATGGCTGTGAACTGCTCTGAGATGCGCTTGAAGAGCTCCTGGATGGCTGTGCTGTTGCCGATGAAGGTGGAGGACATCTTCAGCCCCCGGGGAGGGATGTCGCAGACGGCCACCTTGACGTTGTTGGGGATCCACTCCACGAAGTAGGAGCTATTCTTGCTCTGGATGGCCAACATCTGCTCATCCACTTCCTTCATGGACATGCGGCCCCGGAAGACGGTGGCCACGGTGAGGTAGCGGCCATGGCGAGGATCACAGGCAGCCATCATGTTCTTGGCATCAAACATTTGCTGGGTGAGCTCAGGGACAGTGAGGGCACGGTACTGCTGGCTGCCACGGGCTGTCAGTGGGGCAAAGCCAGGCATGAAGAAGTGGAGACGTGGGAAGGGCACCATGTTAACGGCCAACTTGCGGAGGTCAGCATTGAGTTGGCCGGGGAAGCGGAGGGAGGTGGTGACACCACTCATGGTGGCTGAGACAAGGTGGTTGAGGTCGCCATAAGTGGGAGTGGCCAGCTTGAGGGTGCGGAAGCAGATGTCGTAGAGAGCTTCATTATCGATGCAGTAGGTCTCATCTGTGTTCTCCACCAGCTGGTGGATAGAGAGTGTGGCGTTGTAGGGCTCCACCACCGTGTCCGACACCTTGGGGGACGGCACCACGCTGAAAGTGTTCATGATGCGGTCGGGATACTCCTCCCGCACCTTGCTGATGAGGAGGGTGCCCATGCCGGAGCCGGTGCCCCCGCCCAGCGAGTGGGTCAGCTGGAAGCCCTGCAGGCAGTCGCAGTTCTCACATTCCTTCCGTACCACGTCCAGCACCGAGTCCACCAGCTCAGCCCCTTCTGTGTAATGTCCCTTGGCCCAGTTGTTCCCAGCCCCGCTCTGCCCTGCCAGGGGGAAAAAAAAGAGACACCCGATGGCCGCCGGCACCCCCACACCCACGCCGGGGAGGGGACGGGAGCTGCCGGCGGCGGCATCGGCAAGATCTGAGGCCAGGGTGGGGTGGGAAGTGGAAACCACCGAGGTTTGGCGGCGTGCCGGCTGTGCTGGGCCCCGCGGCACGGGTGGGGATGCACCCGCCGAGTGCCCCGGGGATGGAGACAGCCCGGGAGGGGTCTGGGGACACGAGTGATGGCGTCCCCTGTCCCCGGGGACCTACCGAAGATGAAGTTGTCGGGGCGGAAGAGGTGGCCGAAGGCACCCGAGCGCACGCTGTCCATCGTCCCCGGCTCCAGGTCCACCAGGATGGCACGAGGCACGTACTTGTGAGCTGCGAGAGACCCCATGCCAGGAGGGGACCTGCCACTCCTTCCCCTCCATGGGTGCCCCCCCATACACACACCCTGTGGGGTCCCATGGGGTTGGGTGCACATCCCCTGTTCCCCCCCAAACCACAGGGTCCCCGTGGGGATGGGGTGTACGTGTGTCCCCCTTCAGAGCTCAGGGTCCCACAGAACTGGGTAACACGTGTCCCCCCCACACGCTGAAGGGTCCCACGGGGCTGGGAGCATATGTCATGTCCCCCCCAAAACCTCAGGGTCCCATGGGGTGGGTGCATCTGTCACGTCTATCCCTCCCCAAACCACAGGGTCCTATGGGGCAGGTGCATGTGTCCTGTCTCCCCCCCCCAAAACC